ACTTATTTGAATACTTGAATTCAATCAATATACATATATATGCTTTTTTTTATTTTTTATTGTTGGTTTGTTTATGGACCTTATATTTAAGTTATATTTAAAAAGATCATTCCTTATTTTATTTTTGTAAGTCTAAAGATGTAGATATAGATGTCTATATCTACATCTAAAGATGTAGATATAGATGTCTAAAGTTATGCAATTGGCTAATTTAGGTCAACTATTGCTTGTTCTTTATTTTGTCATTGGCATGATGATTTGTTTTGCTCACTTTGTAGTTTATTTCTTACTAACAAACAGTTATTCATTTTATGTTGTATTTAAAATATGATTATGTTATTTTTAATTGTAATGAGATATTTGATATTTTTTTTATAGAATATTGTGAAAGTATAGACTATTCTGGCATGTAGATGCTATGACTGTTTTAACATTTTTAACATTCATATAATTCAAAGATTAAAATCCTTCTGGCACACATTTAGAGTACACATTTTGTAAATCAATTTATTTTATTCATTACAGTTTTTTGATACTATTTATGTTATACTATATTTTGTACTATAGGCTGGTAATTCCATGTGGAAAAATCATTCATTTCATCCAAAAATTCCCAAGTTTCAACCAAGTTAAATTTTTTTAAAAGAATTAGAAACCATATTATTTTACTTTCTTAATTATATTGTATAAAGATATTTTGATCTTATTTTCAAAATAAAGTTTTTTCGCGAAGTGCGTCGTTTTTTTAATGTCGATTTTTTTAAAAACATTAACATAGTAAGAAATAGTAAACTAAGCTTAGGTCACATTTTATTATTATTGTGCTATATACATTACACCGCTAAAGTACACCGCTAGAAATGTTCAAACAATTTTGATGTGTTTCGGTACATTGGAATACTTGCCTTTAAATTTTTTTTTGAAAAATTTTCTCGACACAGGTTTTTCATCTAAAGTGGTCTTAAAAAATAAGTAATATAAAAATAATATTGATGCAAAAAAACCTTCATAACCTGAAGGTTTTTTTGCATCTTAATTATATATTTTTTTGCTTTTTAATTATAAAAAAAAGATATAAGAGTGTAAAGTTTATGGAAATATCGTATTTTTTATCAAATATCGTTGTGCTGTCAATTATTGAACAAGCCCTTTATTCACTTTTTTTTCATCCAACTTCTCATTTAACATAATTTTTAATCCAATGCACTTTACATTTTGCATGGCATATTTTAAAGAAAAGTTTTCTACAAGTTTTATTGTGAATGATAGCAAAAACTGTATTCAACTGAGGCTAAAAGAACCTTTTTAAGTAATATCATCGGTTTTTTTTTAAAATTCTTTATGACAGTCTGGTCCCACATTAAATATCTGGCTTTTAGGAAGAAAAAATTTAATGAATAAAATCTGATTTGTAGTTTTACATTGATTTAAAACATTTATCTAGTTAAACTTATTTATTTTGTAATTATTAAGGTGCTCCTAAAAGTCCATACATTTCTATTACAGAGCATCGCGGAAGAGCATTAAACTAAGAAGTTCACGCCTGTTTCCTTACCAATTTCGCTTATTGGGCTAAAGTTGCACATCAAACCTTTTCGTTCTAAGCCAGAGCTCTAACCACTGCGCCGCGGCGGCGTTTAACCTGACGTTAAATTTTGCAAAAATTAAAAAAAAAACTTATAGTAACCTTATAAACAATTGCCTTTTGTTTTCAAGAACAACTCTGCCTAATGATTGCACGTAAGCACTAGGGTTAATGCATTTTTCTCGATTATGCAATAAAAAATCGTAAGTATTTTTTTTATTATTAAAATTGATGGGCAATAAACCGCTCTGCAGTTTTCTCTATAAAAATCGCTTTGCTATTTATTGCATTAGTGATTTTTTAACAGAAATTCTCGATACTTCTGCAGTTTTTGCAATACAATCATAAAATCGGGAAGCATTCAAATCAACACAAAACCTCTCTGGATTAATAGAGAATTGAAAGCGCTGTCAAAAGAAAAAAGAAACGTTTGGTTCGAATGTCGAAGGCAGAAATTCAGAGACAATTGTTTACTTGCAAAATACAAAGAGTTAAACAAGGTTTAAAAAAAAAAAAGTGAATCAAAGAATTAAAGATTTTGAATATGATCTTGCTTTAAATTCAAAGTTTAACCCCAAGAAAGTTTATTCATATATTAACAATAAAAGTAAAGTCAAAGACAATATAAGAGCAGTTCAACTAAAAAATGGTAGCATCGAAACTGATTTAAAAGTAATTGCAAATACATTGAATGGATATTTTGCATCAGTATTCAATAAATCACAAACTTTATCTGCTCCAATAATAGATATAGAAACACAAAAAATCTGTAAAAATTCAGATTTTAATGCCTCTGTTGTTGAAGACTACTTGAACAAACTTGACACTAATAAAGCAACTGGATTGGACAGAGTTCATCCAAAAGTTCTAAAAGAGTGCAAATCTACTTTAGCCAAACCAATATCGTTATTGTTTAATAAATCATTTGAAACCGGTAAACTTCCGAAATTATGGTTGTGTGCAAATATCGTCCCCCTGTTTAAAAATGGTGACAAGTTGAACCCATGCAACTATAGACCTGTATCTTTAACATCTGTAGTTTGTAAAGTCATGGAAAAAATAATTAAAGATAAAATGATGAAACATTTAGTAAAAAATAAATTAATCAATAAAAACTAACATGGATTTGTAAATAATAAAAGTTGTGTGACCAACTTAATGGAATCTCTAGATTTTATCACAAGTTCAATTGATAATGGTTTGGATGTAATTGTTTTGTTTCTGGACTTAGCCAAAGCGTTTGATTCAGTTGATTACGAAAGATTATTGTTAAAATTGAATGCTCTTGGTTTTAAATCAAAACTATTTGACTGGTGCCAGGGATTTTTAAAGAACAGACTTCAAAGAGTAGCGATTGGAAATAATAAATCAGAATGGGAAGAGGTCGTGAGTGGAGTACCACAAGGATCAGTGCTAGGACCACTATTATTTGTAGTGTATATTAATGATATCTCCAACAAAATAAAATCAAGCTGTAAACTTTTTGCTGATGATATGAAAATCCTTAGAGCAATAAAAAACGATAATGATGTTATTGAACTTCAACAAGATATAGACTTATTAATGGAATGGTCGAATGAGTGGTTGATGAAATTCAACCAGCAAAAATGTAAGGTTATGATAATAGGAAATAGCCAGTACAAAGTTTTAATGAATAATACAGCTTTAGCCTACACAAGTATGGAAAAGGATTTAGGAAAGTACATTTCAGATGATTTGGAATGGAAACACCATGTAAATAAAGCAGTAAATAAAGCAAATCAAAAGCTAGGTCAAAACACACTTTTAAATATTTAGACGAAAAAACAATGAAACTCTTGTTTATAGCCTTAGTACGTCCATATTTGGAATACGCAGCTCCTATCTGGAATCCTTATCGTCAGTATGATAAAGATAAACTAGAGTCCAACAAAGAGCTTCTAGAATTAAAATTTTGAAAGGATACAGTTATGAAGAGAGGTTAAAAAAGTTGGATTTACTATCGTTAGAGAACAGAAGAAGGGGTGATTTGATACAAATGTTCAAATATTTGAAAGGGTACGATATTATAAACTTTTACACAGAACCCGAAATGCTAGATAACGGATATAAAACTAGAGGTCACAATAGTAAACTGAGAAAAATATAAAACGGCATAATTTTTTCACAAATAGAGTAGTAAACGACTGGAACAATCTTGAACAAGAAATAATAGACGCAGTCAGTATCAACCAGTTCAAAAAAAAATTGGATGAACATTTTAAATACTAACTTTTTTTTATGTTTGTATGTTGGTGTGGTACAGCTATTAAAGTTACAAACTCTACGCAGTTTGGACTCATCACTCTTTAAGTCTACAGCACTATTATATTATATATTAAATCTACAATCTAAATCAAGAGAAGCTTAGAATTTTTGATATTATTTTAAGGTGCCCTAAAAAGACCTAATGGTCTTGTCACAGAGCACCGCGGAAGGTATTCAACCAGGAAGTTCACGCCTTCCTTACCGTGACGCGAAAATACGTCCAGAGCTCGTTTCGAACCTGGATCGTTTTTCCTGCTTATAAAGCAGGCGCTCTAACCACTGCGCCACGGCCGTACAGAATAATGGTAGTCCAAGAAAATTATGCTGTGGTTAAATAGAACAATAACCTTTCGGATACATTTTATGAAGTCGAGCCAGCTGATTAACCACAACCGGAAGAACCTAAACCCACAACTTTTAAAGCCCAAAAAACCAAAATTATCATCTCAACACCCTTTAATCTCTCTGCTTGGTTCTGAGCGTCAACCATCAACTTTAAAACCAAATTTTAAAAGCGAAACCTAAAGGTCACGGCGTCAATAGAGTCAAAGCTTTTGACACCAAAAAAATAATACTCCAATAAAAATAAACTGAAGTAGTAACGTAATGTAAAATTAGCTAATAGATAAAATTAATTCTGATATTGACACTACCACATCTACAAAGTAAATTCTACATACGTCAGGACTTCCATATTTAGTAGAAAATCTAGATCACAGACATCTTCATCTAATAAATATTTTTTTGTACTAATAAATGAAATAAACTCCTGATCTAACTTTTTATTTAACTTGGATTATTTAAATTGCGATAGTAACGTCAAGTTTAAGATTGAATTGATAAATTTTATTTTTAGGATTTATAGAAATATAAGCGATCTTTGCAACAAATAGCAAATCTTTCAAGAAAATTGCGGCGCCTTCCAAGAATAACGATAAAAATGCCATTTAATTGTAATCGCTGTGTTATCAGGTGTTTCTAAATCAAAAATTTTTTTTACGATTTTTGTAATTGGTAACTAATAAACCTATCAAATCAATCTATCGAAGACTATAACTATACTATAACGAAACTCTTGTTGTTTATCTAAAATAAATAACACAAAAGACCTAAAGATATAACAAATCTCTGCTTTTCATATTGTTCTTTATTGTCATGACTATAATTAAAAAGATAACACATAAAAACCTATCAAATGAGTAACATAGATAGTAACATATTCCTTGGTTTTTAAAAATTCAACCTTGTTTTAATGATTGTATTGCTCTCTAGTTTTTTTTTTTAATTATCTGAATTCGATAACTATTCCTTGATCTGACGACACCCTGTGATAATATTACAACACTAAAATTTCTTATTTAAGAAATGAAGATTGAATTTTCTATCCAGATAAAAAAAAAACAGTAGTTTTGAAATAATTAAACTTTTTTTATTACAATTAATGAAAACGAATATTTTTTTTAAACAAACTACTTATTTTTTTAATGAACAAATTAATGATAACTTGTATTATTTTTTACTAGAAACGCCAAAAATTGGATTCATATTATAAAGTTTCATTTTTTCTATCGAAGCTTCTTGCCATTCTTTAGTGAAAGTTCGAGGACGTTCAGGTGCAACTGGAAAGTAATTTATTTTACAAATAATAAGCTATATTTAAGACAAAGTTAAATATCATATATAAATATAACCAATGCACTTAAAAAAAAATCGTTTGAAAAATCCTATTAGCAAACAGATAGAAAGATAATTATATGTAAAAAAACATACCAAACTTATTTAAAATGCTATAAAAACAGAGTGCAACTGCCACCCCAATCGAAACTCCAAAAACAACTTTTCCAGTATCGCCCTTAACATTTTCAGCTTCTTTCATTGTTTTAGGAAACTGGGCCCTATACACTAAAAACAAAAATACTATATAGTGAGAGTATTTTAAATACAGATGTATTTATTATCTTTAACAAACTCTTAGAGGGCACCCATAAAGAATGTATGCATTAAAATTACTCATTGACCCATCCCTCTGCATAATTATGTAATATTTATTATTATCTCTTTCTGAACGCATAGATTTTTCAAAACATTAAAAACAAAAAAACTTTTATTTTTTTAGTTTTGGACATTTCTGTTACATAAAGTAATATTGACTTTTTAAACTCGCAAAATTCAATGTTTATGTTAAAAAAAACAATTAATCGTAGTTTCTCAGTGTTTAAAGACTTTAGGGTTGGTTTAATAATAAAAAAAAACTTTATTTAAAAAAGTTCCTTGTGAAAAAAGAAGTACAACCTTTCCTCTTTACTACTTTTACGTTTTTTTGTGTGCTCAAAAAAGTTCTTGTTTATGAGTAAAAGTTTTTGAAAAGAATAAAAGTTTTTTCAAAAGTTTTTGGAAAGATAAAGAGCAAGATGGTCAAACTTACTCGATTTTTTTTAACACTCTCTTCTCTCGTATTTCATTTTGATAACTCTTTCTTCCCCATATCTGCGTAAGTTCTCTTAGAAGACCCTTTAAATCACATGCCTATTATATGTTTATATAATTTTCATATGAATTTTTTCATGACCCATGTGGGTGTTATATAAAAAAAACAAGAATATTCATTTTTTTTATTGTTAAATGGAAATGTTATTGACATGCAACTTTTGCATTGTAAAGTAATTTTGAATATAGAAATAGAACAATATTTATTTATTAACTTATTACAAGAAGCTCTACTTTTAATTAGTGATTACTCAAATAGAATTTATATTACAACATGATGAAATGTGAGAGTTTGAAAATCGGATCGAAATTAATCAATCTTATTAACTAGTAGCAGGAAGAAAATTTTTTTTTTTTACAATTTTTTACAATCACCAAAACCAGATATTTTTACAATGACAAAAACCAGATATTTTTTGTAAAATAAATTTATCAAAAAAAAAAAAAAAAGATCAGCAGCTTTTGGATTCTTTAAAGTAATTAATGGATGGAGATTTTAAACATTTGTTGCAGCTTACACCAGGATAACTACTTAACAGTATTCTGAGAAAAATATATTTTGTTTTGTTAATACAATTTTTAAAATTTCTTTGTAGGTTACTTCTTGAATCTTGTCCTTTGCAGCAAATAGTACAAAAGCATTTGTAATATTTGATTTTGATTCTTCTTTTTTAATTTAAACCAATGTTTTAAACAGATATTAGGCCTATGAGCTAGACATTTTTCAGCTCTATTAAAACAACAAAAACAGACCCTAATCAAATTTTTTGAATGTAGTGCTCTTTTTTAAACAAAACTTTTTAGTAATAGTTTCTATATTAAATTTTATAAATCAATATACTGACAAGTTATCTTAATTTAAACAAATTAGTAAGCAATCAAAGTAATTTATAGAGAATAGTTTATCCTTATTTCAATATTTTCTCTATCTTTTGCTAATAACTTAAAATAAAAATGGGTTTAAGGCATATACAACATGATTTGAGTACTGGAACAGTAAATACAATTAAAAATTATTTTGATGCTTAAACGATACAGCCATAAAAAAAAGAGAAAATATTGGCATTCATGAAAATGGATGGGGTGGGCTGTATAAAACTCCTTGGTATTCCTATGATTCCAAATATGATGAATTCAATAATCATTTTAAACTGTGGAATCGGCTTGATGATTTTATTGCTATTTGCTTTGACACGATAGCTAGCAACAATGAATAAAATGCAGGATGTGTTGCTTTAGTCAAAAAAGAGATATAGGAAATCATGATGGACCATTTGAGCTACTAAAAATGCTTCAGGATAACTGAAGCATTTTTAGTAGATAACTATATTTCTTACAAAAAAATAGATATTAAGTTGAATTTCCTGTACACAGAGCAGACCCAATGGATTATCAAAACTTGTCTTGAATTAAGTCAATATGACTACAAAACAATACATTTCCAAGAGAAGATTATCAGTAACATATGGAACTGATAATTATTTATTTTGGTGGAAAATAACAGGATTAAAGGATTTTTTGGCTCAAGAAACATGATACTTATTATCATGTAAAGTTCATGCACAATGAGCTGTACATCTTTAAGTACATAATGGACCAACAAATTAATAAGGATAAAGTACTTTACCTGTTTTAAAAATATACTCAAATTTTTAGAGGTAGTTGATGATTACGCTGAACAAGGTGTCAAAGTCAAAGACCCAAAGCAGGTAGAAAAAGCATTTCATTTTACAAAAATCACGAAAAAGTGTTTCTCTTTGAAAGAAAGGAAAACCTAAACAACATATGAGTTTCATTGTTTCAAGCAACTTTGTATATATATTATAATCATATTATTTCAGTCTAACATTATCATATTTTTCTTTCAGTTTAAATTTTTTACCAGTAAAACATTATTTGGTATAAAATAACAAAGCTGCAAACAACCACTATTAGGGTAAGAAGTTACTGGAAGAGAAAAGTGGAATATTTTAGAGCAAGATAATGATTGACAGATGACTTAAAAGATTGTAAATTATATGAATCAGGAAAGCAAGATGAAGGAAGCATAAGTTTACAAAAATAATGAAAAATAGACAGAAAAATTACAATTTGCTCAAACTATGTAACTGTAAAATACCTAAATAACGTTTGATTTTCCTAAAACGGATACTTGTCCCTAGCATGAAGTAGTTGTCAATAAATTTAGTCATATTAACTGACTAGAGTGAGAATAGACAAAAACAAACACTAAAATGGCATTTATTTACAAAGAAAACCATGCTTTTATTACCCTGGTTTACTCTGAAAGTAAACCTGGATATTAAGGTTTAATATAAACAGAATTCAACCATATTGAGTTATAAAAAATTGGCAAGTTTTATACTAAAAATATCATTATAGTGGCGATTCCAGAGTGCAGCAAAAAACATTTCATTTTTGCCAAAAAACACGTTATTTTTATGAACTCTACTCTCATTTTTTTCTTCAAAAGAAAGCTTGAAGTTTTTTGCATCAGTTAGTTTGACTCAACTTCACATACTCATCATATATAGAAAGTTTTATGTTTAATATGGCTTCTTTTATATATTATTCATTTCTCAAGACCACTATTGATAAAAAAAAACTTAATGTGGGACACAATTTTTTCAAAAGCAGTTTTTGAATGTAAGATTTTCTAAGCATCAAAACACATCTAATTTGTATGAAACTTTATATATTATAAAAATGATAAAAGGGTGGCCAGCTAAAAGTAAATTTATAACTCCAGAATCCAGGATTTTTTAAGTAAATTTTATAATATATAGATTTTTTCTCGACAATAAATGGACCAGTAAATGCAAAATACATTGTCTTAGAACGAAACAACTAAATATTTATATTTGAATGCGCATATAAATCATAAATACATACATATATTTATGTAAAGTTTGTTTAATTTCATATATATATATATATATATATATATATATATATATATATATATATATACATATATATATATATAAAACAACTCTTTTATTTTATCTCATTTTTGGATTGCTCCAGTTTTTTTAATGAAAGATCAAGGTCTTTAACTGTTTGTTCTTTTTCTAAAATTGTGTTCCTCAAAGAATTTGTTTTTACAAAGACAGTGAAGTCTCTCTTTGCTTCTGCTTTAATGCTTAACTTGTCAACATCAGATTTGAAAAATTCAATGTATTTTCTTTCTGTTTTTTAATAACTAAAAGATCTTCATCAATCAATTGATGTTTTCTGCTTACATTATCTAATCCTTGTTTTCTTTCAATACTACATTATAGTGATTGTATGCTAGCTTACAATTTTTTAAAAGATTGCTGGGGAGCTAATACTGATGAATAACAATGTCATGAGAATTGATGTGATCATAAACTATTCTTTGAGAAATAAGAGATTTTTCTTGCAGAATTTCGACTAACAACTATTTGTTGACACTGAATCTTTGTTCAATTGCAGATTGGCCATGATATAATACAAAAATGAAAGCGCAGACTTTCCACAATGCTGAAGACTTCAGAGTTTTTTTGTAAATAGACAGCAAGAAACTGTTAAGATTCAAACTTTTCATTAAATTGAACACCTTCAGCACTAACTAATTCATCATATTGTTGTTTTGCATCATCTGCATCATCAGTTAAAAGTCATTTTAATGCAGTCAATCTCTCAGCTAGATCCTGGAATTTAACAGTGGATATTTCCTTGTTTTGAACCATTTCATTTGGAGACAAAGATGAGGCATTCATCACTAAAGAGTAATTAAAAATGGCATCTCTCTTTTAATTTTTGTAATAACACTATGATAATCTGCTTACATTCCAATATAAACTCTAATTTATCTTCTGGTTTACAACAAAGAGAACTTGGCATCTGTTTTAGTGCTGTTCAGAATTCAATTTTGTTTATATCTAGTTGGTTGTTTGATTTACCTAATTCAATATTTATTAAACTATATGCTGTTGCAGCTTCATTTAAATTGTTTGGTTTGAGAATCATTTTTATTAAACTTCGAAACATGCTTTCTAAACTGTTAAATAGAAATGCAACCATAGGTCTGTCTGTTTAAACTAGAACTCCTTTTAATTTTTTAGCAAGATCTTTAAAAAACTGCATTCACAAAGGTACAAAATAGTGATGATGATCTACCAGAACTTCATAGCTCTTTTTTTTTAACACGTCTGCATTTGCATAGTGATTCCCAATATTTTATAATTTTAACCATGTTTGGACATGGCCAATGAAAGATGAAGCCACTAGGGGTGGTAAACAACTAACGATTAATCAATTAAAAATCATTAATCATTAATTGATTAATTAACAAATGATTAATCAATCAATTTTTTTTAATATAACAACTTTGCGTTATTTTGTTTTAAAGATTTTTACGAACATTTACAAGCGTTTTTTAATGAACAAGA